CCAGTTTAAAATTTTCAAGATTGAATAATTCCAAATTTCTAAATTTTCCTAAATTTTCCTAAATTTTCCTAAATTTTCTTGATTTTCTACATTTTCTAAATTTTCTAAATTATCAAATTTATAGATTTCTACATTCCTAAAATTCCAAGATTTTTATTCCCCAGTTTAAAATTTTCAAATTTCTGAATTTTGCAGTTTCTTAATTTCCAAACTCTTAAATAACCAAAATTCTGAATTTCAAAATTCCCAGCATTAAAAATTAATTTTTAACTTTGTAAATTTTCCAGTTTCTCAATTTCCAAACTCTGAAATCTGCAAAATAGTAAATTTCAAATTTTCCAAAATTAAAAATTAATCCTTGTCTTCATCAATTTTCCAGTCTCTCAATTTCCAAGCTTTTAAATAAGCAAAATAGTAAATTTCAAATTTCCCAAAATTAAAAATTAATCCTTGTCTTCATCAATTTTCCAGTCTATTAATTTCCAAACTCTCAAATCTGCAAAATAGTAAATTTCAAATTTTCCAAAATTAAAAATTAATCCTTGTCTTCATCAATTTTCCAGTCTCTCAATTTCCAAGCTTTTAAATAAGCAAAATAGTAAATTTCAAATTTCCCAAAATTAAAAATTAATCCTTGTCTTCATCACTTTTCCAGTTTATTAATTTTCAAACTCTTAAATAACCAAAATAGTAAATTTCAAATTTCCCAAAATTAAAAATTAATTCTTGTCTTCATCAATTTTCCAGTCTGTTAATTTCCAAACTCTTAAATAACCAAAATAGTAAATTTCAAATTTTCCAAAATTAAAAATTAATCCTTGTCTTCATCAATTTTCCAGTCTATTAATTTCCAAGCTCTTAAATAAACAAAATAGTAAACTTCAAATTTCCCAAAATTAAAAATTAATCCTTGTCTTCATGAATTTTCCAGTCTATTAATTTCCAAACTCTTAAATAAGCAAAATAGTAAATTTCAAATTTCCCAAAATTAAAAATTAATCCTTGCCTTTATCAATTTTCCAGTCTCTCAATTTCCAAACTCTTAAATAAGTTTCTAAATTTCCAATATCAAAAATCAATTTTTAACTTCAATTCTTTAATTTGTTTTCCCCTTCACACCCTTAATACTTGATATATTATAAATATTATATAAAACACTGAATTTATTCCAAACCAAAAAATGTTCATAAATCTTCCTTGAAATATTCTCTACTTGTTATAATAAAAGACTATAACTTTCCACTTGGGTCTTCTCTGACAACGTTAATTAAAGAAGTAATTACAAATTGCGATCAACGACACTCGTCAGAACTAGTTAGTCCAGTTTCAATTTTATACTACTTGCATACATGTTAGCTCTTTATATATATTTATCATTCATCCCCATGTTAATTACCAGCCGTGTCATCATTATCATCGTTATTATTAATCACCGTCCTAGTTTCATCAGTATTATTAGTAACATCATCATATCGATCCACTGTCCATCAAATATATTCGTAGCGTTTTTAAAATATCCTCTACTTTCCATTCACCCTCTTCCACTTCTTTATCACGCATTTCGATTATTCTAGCGATTCTCTCTTGTCGTATTTCAGTTTTTGATTCTGTCACAGCTGCTGCTATTTTACTATAATAATATTTGCCTTTTCGTTTCTTCTCCGTTTTGTATTGAACCACCATTGCATATCGAGGGAATGAAAAGCAAGGAAAAATGCGAGAAAACAGAGAAAAGTGGACAAAAAAAGAATGAGCAAGCAAGCAACGCAACGATGGCACCTTTCTTTATTACATTCTCTTATTATTTTTTTCCCCCCTTTTTTTCTTGGGAACCTTTTTTTAGGCGTGTCATGATTCTTTGCAGTTCCTTTCGTCTTTTTTTCCTTTTTGGATTCTTTACAGTCCTCTCACAATTTTATTCTGTAATGCGCTGCCTACCGCCGCTGCCTTCTACCACTTCTGCGACTGGCAACCTTTCTAACGGCCGCTGTGAACGACCGAGCGAAGTTTTCTTTTCTTTTTCTGTTTACTCCTTTGAATTTCACGATAACAGCGTGCGTGAATGTCGCTGTTGCGGGAATTTTCATGGATCCATGTGCATATGGTGTTACGGGAGTCCTTCTGCAATCGACAGAATTTTTACTGCGATTCTCAACATTTCTTGAGGAAAACAAACTTAAAATTTCAACAAACTCAAAATTTCACCTCTATAAATTTCTATCGTCTCATTAGACTTTATACATTTTTTACAGAAACTAAGTTTGAAAAATAAAATTCTGTCCGTGCACCAGGGACGTGTTTAACTCATTAATTCCCAAAGCTCGAAACTGTGAATCATTTTGTGTAATAAAATACTGACAAACAGGTAATTAACACAGTTTGACATCACTCGATATGGCGTGACAGTTCAGAGACAATTCCCTCACGCGATATCGCGTGACCTCACTAACAGTGATACATTTTTGTAGAAATTTTTCTATGTTCAGAATGTTTTTTGTCACCGAGTAAACTGTACTAACGGGTACTGTAATTAACAAGCTTGACAAGAATTATATGTTGGATATCAGTTTTTTAATTTGTATTTTATTATATTTGTATAATATGTAACTTACTTTTATTGTAAAGTCAATTATTTTAATTGTAGTTCATTATATGAATTATTTTTAATGTAGTTCATTATATGAATTATTTTTAATGTAGTTCATTATATGAATTATTTTTAATGTAGTTCATTATATGAATTATTTTTAATGTAGTTCATTATATGAATTATTTTTAATGTAGTTCATTATATGAATTATTTTTAATGTAGTTCATTATATGAATTATTTTTAATGTAGTTCATTATATGAATTATTTTTAATGTAGTTCATTATATGAATTATTTTTAATGTAGTTCATTATATGAATTATTTTTAATGTAGTTCATTATATGAATTATTTTTAATGTAGTTCATTATATGAATTATTTTTAAAGTAATTCATTACATGAATTATTTTTAATGTAGTTCATTATATGAATTATTTTTAATTGGAGTTCATTATATGAATTATTTTTAATTGGAGTTCATTATATGAATTATTTTTAATTGGAGTTCATTATATGAATTATTTTTAATTGGAGTTCATTATATGAATTATTTTTAATTGGAGTTCATTATATGAATTATTTTTAATTGGAGTTCATTATATGAATTATTTTTAATTGGAGTTCATTAATATGAATTATTTTTAATGTAGTTCATTATATGAATTATTTTTAAAGTAATTCATTACATTATATGAATTATTTTTAATTGGAGTTCATTATATGAATTATTTTTAATTGGAGTTCATTATATGAATTATTTTTAATTGGAGTTCATTATATGAATTATTTTTAATTGGAGTTCATTATATGAATTATTTTTAATTGGAGTTCATTATATGAATTATTTTTAATTGGAGTTCATTATTATGAATTATTTTTAATGTAGTTCATTATATGAATTATTTTTAATTGTAGTTTGTTATATGAATTATTTTTAATGTAGTTCATTATGATGTAGATGTTTGATTCATTTTTTTAAATATAACTCAGTGAGGTGAGTGTTGATATTTTTTAAAAATTTTGTACTTTGTGTTAATGTAAAATCATTGGACAATTATTGGTACAATTGACAATGACCACTATTGTATATGATCACTCTGTCAAATTTCAGTAATTTCTTACTGCCTTTTGTTTTTAGAATGTATTTCAAAATTGAACATTTTTAATTCATTACTGATTTACTTCAACTTTTATTTACATTACAAGTGTACATTACAAATATACTTTTACATTAATGTACTTCTATATTAATTTTTTAATCTTACATTAAAATTTTACATTAAAAAATTTATATTTAATTTTAGATTAAAAAATTTACATTTAATCTTACATTAAAAGATTTACATTTAATTTTAGATTAAAAATTTACATTTAATTTTGCATTGAAAAATTTACATTTAATTTGACATTAATGTACAAGTTAAAACCAGAGATCCACTTAAAAATACCAAATGTACAGTTTACCCCGATAAAAATAATTAACCAAAGTATTTAATAAAAAGGAAAAATAAAACAGTAAATAAACGTTTACAGATAAACTTGTTAAAAAGTATTACATGGTTAAAAGGTTGCATAAAGGGAACTTTGGGTATTAATGGGTTAAGGTACTAACAGAAATGGAGCATCTTGTACAAAGTGCAGGAAAGAGCGGGGAATTTTGATGAAATGCTCAACTTGAGTTATTTAACCCTTTCACTGTCTTCAGACATTATTTTTTTAAGTTGACTGTCATGGTCCCCATTGACTTGCAAACTAATTCAAGGTAGAATAAATTTCAGGAAAAATATTGTATGATATAGAAAATTATAAAGGAAAATTATTTATTTGCATGTAACATATATTCTGGTCAATTTTCACTGTGGCAGTCAAGGTTCATAAAATATTTTTACCATCGAGGTTTTTCACTCAAATTTTTTATACCAATTGAGCAGCGATTGCTCAAGTTTTTTAAACATCTTCCTACAACCGTTAAGTTACGGTTAAGTTAAGTTACGGTTAAGTTAGACCGAGTTTAGGTTAAGTCTCGCAATGGAGTGCCGCCATTTTGTCGAACCTCGCAGCGAATGGGTTAAATCGCGAGCATAAAGTATCAACAAGAAACAAATTCCAAACTGAAAATTTCCGTATCTATTTCCATATCTACAATTTCCTCCGACTTTCCCTTTACTTAAAGTCTTAACTTGTAACTTAAATTAATTACAAATAGTCGAGCGAATCTCAGGAAATTCTTCCGTTAAAATTAGAAAACGGGAAAGGAGGGTAATAAAAAATTCTTCGTCTCTTTCGCTGTGACTGTGTACGAAACTGATTTTGTAAATATATATGTAAATATGGCTACGTGTATTACTATACTTGTAACGGTGTACGGGGTGCTTGGCACACATTTTTTCTAATCAATGGTGGATGGCAGGTGCCGGCCATCTCGCTAGCTTACGAGGCACCGGAGTCGGACATTATGAAACGGCAGCCCCGCGATCCTTACAGAGACAATCTTGTCAACCGAAGGTGGGTCTCAAAACTACCCACCAGAGAAACCAATAACCCTAGAGAAACCATGCACTTATTCAATCGCAGACAGACCAGATACACGACATCGTGCGATACACGACACGGCACACACGAGTGGCCAAATTTATCTTTCATCTACTTTCAACTATCTTTTTTTCAAATTATCTTTAATACTATTTTTTTGAAATTGTCTTTACTACTATTTTTTTGAAATTGTCTTTACTACTATTTTTTTGAAATTGTCTTTACTACTATTTTTTTGAAATTGTCTTTACTACTATTTTTTGAAATTGTCTTTACGACTATTTTTTTGAAATTATCTTTAATACTGTTTCTTTGAATAATATGTAATACTGTTTTTTTTTTTGGAATAATGAATGCATTCTGATGTTCGAAGCGCAAAATTGAATCACGTTGAATCAAAATTGAATATGACATGTGACATATGAATATGACATTGAATGAGACATGTTGAATTAAAATTGTGATTGGAGATGAATTGAAACGTTTGGTTGAATTGAAATAAGTAAAATCGCATCAAATCTAAATGAAATTGAATCGTGTAAAATTGAACACCTCGCGTCGAATTGAATTTCGTGGAATTTAAATACATAGAATTGAATGACACATACAAATTAATTGAACTAAAATATATTGAATTGAAGTACGTTAACTTGAAACGAAGTATAATTAAATTATTGAAATTTGGCCACTCTTCCACACCAAACATGATTGTTTATACACAATTGATCGTCAGAGTGTCTACTGAAATGTCGATGCCGTACATTTTGTTTCTAAATTACAGATCTCTCTGTTTCTGTCTATCTTTCTATCGTTGTCTCGATGGTCACTAGCTTGATCTTTATTTTACTGCACGCGACAATGATGAAAGTGTATTTTTATCGTTTTCAATGTGCGCACTGTCGTTTGCACTTGTTCGTCGGGTATACAGAAACGATAACCATCGATATGTATCGAAATGAACGTTCTTTTTTCCCGTCGCGGTATCGATTCAAACCCGAGAGATTTGTCACAGGGATAATTTTAATTAGCGAAAGAAGAGAACAAGTACTATCCAGTTATCTCGATCCTAATTAATTTCAACCTTACTCGGAATATTTTCTTTTATCATTTCTTCATTTTTCAGTTTCTTAGTTTCCAATTTTCAAGTTTATATTTTTCTAAATTTTCAAGTTTATTTTTAGATTTTTAGATTTCTTTTTTTCTAAATTTTCAAGTTTTCATGTTTCTAAATTTCCAAGTTCACATATTTCTAAATTTTCAAATTCCTATATTTCTAAATTTCTAGATTTCCAAGTTTCTATGTTTCTAAATTTTCAAATTTCCATATTTCTAAATTTCCAAGTATATCTCTAGATTTTCAAGCTTCATGTTTCTAAATTTTCAATTTTCTATATTTTTAAATTTCCAAGTATATCTCTAGCTTCTCAAGCTTCCCTGTTTATAAATTTTCAAATTTCCATATTTCTAAATGTTTCTAAATTTTCAAATTTCCATATTTCTAAATTTCCAAGTATATCTCTAGATTTTCAAGCTTCTATGTTTCTAAATTTTCAAATTTCCATATTTCTAAATTTCCAAGTATATCTCTAGATTTTCAAGCTTCTATGTTTCTAAATTTTCAAATTTCCATATTTCTAAATTTCCAAGTATATCTCTAGATTTTCAAGCTTCTATGTTTCTAAATTTTCAAATTTCCATATTTCTAAATTTCCAAGTATATCTCTAGATTTTCAAGCTTCTATGTTTCTAAATTTTCAAATTTCCATATTTCTAAATTTCCAAGTATATCTCTAGATTTTCAAGCTTCTATGTTTCTAAATTTTCAAATTTCCATATTTCTAAATTTCCAAGTATATCTCTAGATTTTCAAGCTTCTATGTTTCTAAATTTTCAAATTTCCATATTTCTAAATTTCCAAGTATATCTCTAGATTTTTCAAGCTTAATGTTTCTAAATTTTCAAATTTCCATATTTCTAAATTTACAAGTATATCTCTAGATTTTCAAGCTTCCATCTTTCTAAATTTTCAAATTTCCATATTTCTAAATTTCCAAGCTTCCACATTTCTGAATTTCTAAATTTCCAATTATATCTCTAGATTTCAAAGTTTCTACATTTTCAAATCTCTAAATTCTCGCATCTCCGAATTCACAATTCCCTGCAAGACACAATCACCGAACAATACCACCCCATTTTACCAGCGACATAACTCGTATAGGTTGGGTCGAGATAATGGAATGGTGCAAAAGAAACAAAAAGAAAAACTAAGGTTGACACTCTACGTTTTCCCAGCCAGACAAAAAGAAAGAAACACATCTCTAGAATACTAGTTGATTAGTGATAGCACAGCAACTTGTACAGGGTATGGCAGAATTCGTGGCACACTAATTTCTTGCTCAAAAATAAGTCTGAGTCTTGGAATAAATCTCTTTCCTCAAGGTTTCGTTTTTCAATAACAGAAAAGAAATTCGAACTAAATTAAAATTTCACAATTACTTACTTTCATATTTTTTTAAATATGTGTACAAAGAGGTAGAATTACTGTATTTATAATTTGTAACCAAAGAAGATAGTAAACATTAATTAAATAATTTGTATTCTTAACAATTTTTTTTAGTCAAACAATTTTTGAGTTTGTCAAAAATACCTCAGACATCTGTCAGAAAAGATGTCTCATAAAAAGATGTTTCTATCAGAAATTTTAACACTAAACCTACCTTCGATGTGCACTTAATTTGAAATTAAAAATGAAGTTAAAAAATAAACAAACGAAATGTAAAATAGTACACACATTCTTTATCTTGTTGAAAATGAATACTGATTTCAAGGAATGCTTAACAAAATTTATACTTCATAATAATATATGTAATAACAAGTACATGACTGTACTTGTAGCAGTCATTTTAACAACTTTAGTGTTAATAAAACGAAAGCTTAACAAAATAAATTCCACAGACCAGACTAATTTTTGCAAGATCTGAAAAACTGTGACAAATTCCGCCTGATCCTGTGCAAATAGAAGAATTACAGCGTTGGGAATGCCGAATGCTTTCTAGCCACACTTAGAGTCTCTGAGACAGCGAAATTAACCGAACGACTGCGCCTAACTTGGCCCGTTTGCAGCTTTGCGTTTTGAAGTTGCGTGTTTAGAAAGAAAAAAAATATGAAGGTGAAAGAGGTGTGACACATGAAGGAAAATTGTGACGAATGTCGGACGAAACGTAGATTGAAAAGTTTAGAGAGATGCATAATAGAGCAACGCTTGAAACGACGAGAACGAAAGCACGGCCTGAGCAGTTTGATCGACGAATTAACACGCGTACGAGTCTACGACTAAAACACACCGACGTTATGTAATAAGCTTTCTTTTCGAATCCACAAAGTCCCGCGACTTCTGTCCGTTCTTTTTTTACCATGATCGCGTGTCTTCCACGCGGATCTGATCTTTCTATCTATCTTTCTTTCTTTCTCTGTGCTGTTTGCGAGCTGGATTTATTTTGGAATGGGGATCCTGAGGTGATCCTGTGAGAATTGGAAGATTTAGAGAACTCGCGTTATATTGCCGTGGAGAGGAAGTATTTGCATTATCTTCTCCTGTGAAGGTTGTACACAGTAGAGATTATATTATAATCTTGATAAATTGGATGAAATGTGCGGTAAAATGTATTGATATAACATGTCAAAATGTGATGTATTGATATCACGCGCTAGGAGACATTTAACATGCTAAAATAAGAGGAATCAAATTAGAATGCGTCGACGTATAATGCAACTAAATTGAATGAGACGAATTACGATGCGTCGATATTTGATACGCCGGTATGCAACGCGAGCATTCACAACGCACCGGATTTATAATCTACTGAATTCCAACTTGACGGACACTCTACGCGACGAATAAACAGCACGGCGAATTTACAACGCGTCGAATTCATAACGCGTAGAATACTCTACACGACGAATTCGCAACGTACTGAATTTCAACGCGCGGACACTCTACGCGTGGAATTTACAGCGCGCCGAATTTACAACGCATCGAGTACTTAACGCGTCGAATTCATAACGCGTAGAATACTAAACGCGTCGAATACTTAACGCGTAGAATACTGAACGCGTCGAATTCGCAATGCGCCGAATACTCACGCATCGAATTCACAACGCGTGGAATACTGAACGCGTCGAATTCACAGCGCGTCGAATTTGCAACGCGTGGAATACTGAACGCGTTGAATTCACAGCGCGCCGAATACTCACGCATCGAATTCACAACGCATGGAATACTAAACGCGTCGAATTCACAACGCGTCGAATTCACAATGCGGGGAATACTCAACGCGTCGAATTTACAACGCGTAGAATTCACAGCGCGTGGAACTTACAACGCGTGGAATACTGAACGCGTCGAATTCACCACGCGCCGAATACTCACGCATTGAATTCACAACGCGTCGAATTCACAATGCACGGAATACTCAACGCGTCGAATTCACAGCGCGTCGAATTTACAACACGTAGAATTTACAGCGCGTGGAACTTACAACGCGTGGAATACTGAACGCGTCGAATTCACCACGCGCCGAATACTCACGCATTGAATTCACAACGCGTGGAATTCACAACGCGTCGAATTCGCAATGCGCGGAATACTCAACGCGACGAATTCACCACGCGCCGAATATTCACGCATTGAATTCACAACGCGTGGAATACTAAACGCGTCGAATTCATAGCGCATGGAATATTCAACGCGTCGAATTCACAGCGCGTTGAATTTACAACGCGTGGAATTCATAACGCACCGAATTACAACGCGTCGAAATTCAACTCACCGAATTACAGCGCGCGAAATATAATATACCGTAATACCTCGCCCCAAAATTGCAACGCGTCTAACAAATATATCCACCCGGCAATATAACGAGTTTTTGCGAACCACTCAATTCTTCACACGATTAACTTTCAAATAACCGCAGGATCGATATCAAGATCTAATACATATCCACGCGAATGCCAACGAAGTATTTGATGTTGCTTATATTCGCTGATCCGTCAGATCTCACGGTTCGACCGAGCTTGCATGACTTCTGCACGCGAAAAGCTCGAACTTGCGAAATAACGTGCACCGTGAGGCTTGACGAACAGCAGCCGGTTACGTGTTTGTCTGGTGCTTTGCGTGGCATGTCTCGGTGTGAAGAACCAATCGTTACCGCCTACGTTCCGAGCCGGTAAGTTGTTATTACGCATCTTAATCCTAGGTAACAATGGCTTTCGTAATTAACACTTAACACCTTAGGCTGTTTAGAAGCGAACTTAGACGATTAATCGCATACACATAAACAGCTTCCGCTGACTTTCAAAGAATCGTATTTTTTTTGTGGTCAAGAATAGATTGAAATATTCTATCGTTAGACTTAGTGTCACTTAGTTTAAATATTCCCTTAAGTAACACCTTGGGCGGTAAATTGATTCTGATCCTGTAATTTGCAATTTAGAGTTGAACATTTTTGAAATGACGTAGTAAGTTTTTGAACATAGAGAAAAGTTCTTTGGAAGTCGGAATGTACCCGCAAACATCGGACGCTGTTGACGAACAATCATCTAAATGGTGACTCTATGGTGTCTAGGCTTATTTCGATGGCATACGGTCAGATCGGTATGATCCAGGCAGCAGCCGGTTTCTTCGTGTACTTCGTAATCATGGCTGAAAACGGATTCCTGCCTCTGCATCTTTTCGGTATCCGAAAACAATGGGATTCCAAGGCTATCAACGATCTTCGTGACAGCTACGGCCAAGAATGGGTAAGCACTTTATCCAAATATTGTTTATAAGGTTATCCAAGGATCGATTTAATTGTATCTTGTTTCTTCATAGACATACAATGACCGCAAGACACTGGAGTTCACCTGCCACACAGCCTTCTTCGTATCGATTGTGATCGTCCAATGGGCCGATTTGATCGTTTGCAAGACGCGACGTAACTCCATCATTCACCAGGGAATGAGAAACTGGGCCCTCAACTTTGGTCTGGTGTTCGAGACCGCCCTCGCCGCGTTCCTAAGCTACACACCTGGCATGGACAAGGGTCTCCGCATGTTCCCTCTCAAGTAATTTCTATTTCCTTTCGTGAAGAAGCTCGTTTTCACCGTCATCTCATCTACAAGTCCATCAGCTCCAAAGGATCTTATGAATTAGCCCCATGGATATGTGGACACATGTGTGATTTGATGTGAACATGTTCATACATCCATATATAACGTGTCTGTAGATGTGTGGACACATGTATAATTTCATATGAATATATTCATGTGAACGTATTCATATATTCATACATAATGTGTCTGTAGATGTGTGGACACATGTATAATTTCATATGAACATATTCATACATATATACATACATAATGTACCTGTAAATATGTGGACACATGTATGATTTCATATGAATATATTCATATGAACATATTCATATATACATACATAATGTACCTGTAAATATGTGGATACATGTATGATTTCATATGAACATATTCATATGAATATATTCATACATCCATACATAATGTACCTATAGATGTGTGGACATATGTATAATTTTATATGACTATATTCATATAAACATATTCATATATGCATACATAATGTGCCTGTAGATATGTGGACACTTGTATAATTTCATATAAACATATTCATATGAACATATTCATGTATCTATACATAATGTGCCTGTAGATATCTGGACACATGTATGGTTTCATATGAACATATTCATATCAAACATACATACATGATATCTCCATATAAATTAAACTCAAACAGTGTACACATCTAACCTCAACTTTCATTTCATCATTGTAAAGAATATTAAGAATTTTTTATTGAAGTGATCAGTAAGTAACAATATATTTGTATATTTCAGATTCGTCTGGTGGCTACCCGCCCTTCCTTTCATGCTCGCCATCTTCATCTACGACGAGACGAGACGATTCTACCTCCGCCGGAATCCAGGAGGCTGGCTCGAGCAAGAAACTTACTATTAGACGCAAAGAAGAATTTAATCATACACGCAGAGCGCGCGCGCAAGAGTACAGAGCGAGAGTAGCAGTGAGAATGATGCGAGAGAACTAGAGTGAAAGTGCGGGAGAGAGAGAGAAAATGAGATACGCATATACCCACGCAAGAGATATACACCGAGATACTAATCAGTAAAACCAAACAGAATAAAAAAAAAACGAACAAATTACAGAGAATAAAAAAACCATAATAATCACTCGCGTTAATGAGACACGTACATACGTATACACGTACAAATACCCATACACGTATACACACACGCGTACACACACGAGGACACACATAGACACATGTTGTATTTACCATGGGGCGTGCTATCCGGGTCTAAAAACCGTACTGTCGCGAGATCACGAGATTAAACGAGGGACAATTCGCATCCGTATAAGAGAAATAATCGAGCCGAATCGTCGAACGACCAGGTATATTATTGTTATTGCAAGTTGTTTCTTCGAGAATAAACGATTAGAACGTTGGGATAGGAGAGTTACAGTGTGTGCGAAGTACAAAAGGGGAAGAGGAAAGAGGTTTAGGAACGAGAGGGTTCGTCGTTCTGGCTCTGCGAGTTGCTTGCACGCGCGTGCCGGTGTATCATTAAAAGATCGTCGTTCGAGAAACATCGAAAAGGATCGACGAGATATGGGTTCTACGAGCAACGTCGTCGGGAAGATGAAGCTTCCAGGTACACACACACACCTGATACGATTCGAGGGTCACGAAATTTTAGGGGTCGGTGCTGCCGTCTGATCATCGACAGAACATACACACACACACTGCGAGCTGCTGGATTTGGTTCGAAACGGAGCAGAACGCGCGTAAGGGCCTAAAAACGAACATAACGAAGCACACGTGACGTGGAACGGAAATCATCGAGACTCCGTTACGATGTTGGACGACGACGAATCAACGACGCCAACGTACGAACGTCGACGATCGCAGAAACGAAGAAAGAATAGTCGAGGATAATTTAGCATCGATGGAGTATTCCATGTAGACGTCTTGTGATATCGAGAAATATTCACCAGTAGTAGGCATCCAGTTCGCTAAACGAAAGATCACTGCGCTAGGTTTGGCCACCATGCCCTTGCTATGAATTAAAAAAGACAAAAAAAAAAAATATGCCAGACAGAGGAAGAAGCAAAAATAGTAGTGGCAGCCGAAGAGAGATATAAATGTTACGCTAAATGCAAAAAGTTTAAGAAACGAGCAGGAGTACGCTACAGAATAGGACGTCTCGTGACACACCATTTAGTCTTGAATAGAAACCTAATTAATTCCCGATTAAAACCGAGGAGAGATCAGTACGCTAGATTGGCACGCCCTAGAATCATTTACGACGCGGTGGAGATAAGCGAATTAAACGAGATAAATCCAAAAAAAAAAAGCAAAAAAGATTATAAAGAAATATTATAATAATAAGAGTAACGAAAGCGCGTTCGCAGTACTCATTTATTATCCTTATCGCGAAGCAACGTCGTTCGGTTCGAGTCTTTAAATTCGAGTAGCTGTCGAAGAAATCGCATCGCGTAGATGTTTCAGTAGCTCAGTCTCTGCACGATAATCGCGAGAACGGACCTGGATCAGGGAAAGGGGACATCGTCGAGTTCCACTACGCCACGGTTCCACGAGGAAGAGGGTCAGGAAGAGGTTAAGACGCGCGAAGGCGGCAAACGAACAGTATTATAAACAATTATCAACCCAGCCGAGGAAGACAAAACCGAAGAAAGGAAGAACGGAGAAGAATTGAATCGCGGTATTCGCCGATTAAACCGAACAGGACAAACGAATTAGAAAACGATAAATGTCGATCCGAAAGCACCGGTTCTCGGTGTCTACGGTGCCACGATAGTCGAGGTAACAGGTTAGACAAACGCTAAGTAGAGGAGAGTAAAACACGAGTTTAGGTGAGCAGCAGAGGAACTGACACAGAGGAAATAAATACGCAGGATACAGGCAAAAAGAAACAAAAAAAAAAAAGTAACAATTCTTACTTAGGCGAAAAACTAAAAAGTAAAGGAACACAAAAAAAAGATGGTATAAATTCATTCTCTTAGTTTTTCATAGGTTTAAAAACGCCAGCGGGACAAGCTCGCTATAAATCATATTGACCCCCGAACGCAGAACGCCCTGTACCACCAACCCGCGGTCGTCTGTTGTGTGTATGTGTGTGTCAGTAAATCGAACGCCCCTTCGAATCATTTCTAGGAGCAACAAAAGCGATACAAGAACAAAAAAAAGAAGAAAAAAATAAGAGATAAATAAAAGAAAAAAAAACGAACGAAGGTGACTTAAAATGCCTGCCACGCGACTTTTCGGGCCGGGACAATCCGAGAGGCGCGATCATATCGGGTCGTGTTTCGAGCTTCTCCGGTGTGAAACAACTCGTTTCCGATTTCGTTCTCGTTTCCCCTTTTCGCCGTTTTTACCTAGGTTGCCGTTGTTGCTCGCTTTCGCGTATCGGCTTTGTCGTATATATGTGCGTGCGTGTGTGTGTGTGTATGCGCGCGCTGACGAAGAGGGCGCTTCGTTTCGAGCGAAGAACTTCGGGGAGAAACGCGTTCGCTCGTTGACGAAATGGATCGTTCGTCGTCGTCGTCATCGAATCGTTCGCCTCGACGATCAAGGAAGAAACCTCGAGGGGTTGAAAGCACGTTCTCTAGTTCCTTTGTTCCGCCTCGAATCAAAGGCGAACGTCGAGGAGGATTCCGGAGGGTGACACGCTCGCTCGGCGGCCCTGGCCCCAAAAACTACCCTAAGTGTTCAATAATCGAGGTGTTCTTGAGGTGCCGTACACGCGTTAACACGTTCTTCCTTTCGCCAATCCCACCGAGTTTCGGATCATCACGAATCAAAACAAGGGTTACGAATTTCAGCCCCTTCTTTTCTTTTCCCATTTTCTTTCACTATCTTCCTTCGCTCCGTTGGTGCGCGCGACGGGCTGGCCGAATCGTTCGACCCGCGAACTGAAAGCCTCTTACGTTTCCCGCACGAGAGAGATTCGGTAGGACCGGCGAAACGTTTTCAAAATCGTTTTCGAGACACGTGGATCGCCATTCCGACCTTCACGGAGAGAGGATGAAGAAAACGAGGGCAGCAGTGTACCGTCGTTGCTCGTCGAACTCGGATCTGGATTAGACAAACGGGTAAAAGAAACGTCCCGAATTTTCTTACTCGCCAACGAACATGAAACACGAAATCGGTCGTTCGATAGGGGAGGGTGTCTTCGATGTCTAAATTTCCTTTCCACGGCTGATTTTCCTACGTATAGTTTCCTGCGTTACAGGACACTGTTGCGTATACGGTAATGTCTCGATAAATGTCTGGCAACGAGAGGGGTTTGAATCGTTACCGATTTTCGTTCGCCTCATCGGTCGACGCGATATCGAGACGGTACCGTGCGTGGCTCCAAGAGTGTCCGTGGGTTAGGGAGATCTATCGTCGTTCCTGTCACAACGAAATCGAACAAAAACTTAGATTGCCTTCGGCGGATCCCCGTGTTTCGAGGTAGGAAAAGAATTAGAGTAAGGAAGAAACACGGAACGGGAGGACGCGATTGGCTCATTCGTTTCTGCAGAAGAGAGACTCGCGATATATCGCCGGAGCTGGATTGCAGGATCCGTGGTTTGTCGACAGGGTGTTCCGTGCCCGGGGGGCGTAGGAGCCCAAAAATAAAAAAAAATATGCTTTGCCGTCGTGCGCCTCTTTACTTTAGGCTAAGAATTAAAACATTAATAATAATATAATAATAATAATAATAATTATTATAATATAATACATGTTACAATAAGATATTATTAGATGTAATTATTATATATGGTTTAGTCTAGATCGTGTTGTTGAAGAAAAAAACAAAGTACGTATAAGCGAACAAAAAAAAAGGAAGAAGAAGAAACAGAAGACGGTGTGGAGAGCAAGAGAGAACGAGTGAGCGAGAGAGAGAGAGAGCGAGAGAGAGAGAGAGAGAGAAAGAGAGAGCGAGAGAATAAAAATCATGGAAAAGTGACAATGAAAGGAAATTTCGGTCTAAGACCACAAATTATTGCGGCGGACTGAGCGGGACACGGACGAGAATCCGCGTTTTTTGCTTTTCGTGCCTGAATCGATTTTCTCTTAGGCTTCGTTCGTAACGGATATGTACAAAAGAGTCCCAGGGGATTCCCTCGCTCGAGGGAAGCCCCGGATCTCCCTTGAACATCTCTCGTTTTATCTTCGGCACTGTCATGTGAAACCGCATCCATGAAATCGCATCGTGCTTAGATTTTCTTAGATTCCACGTTATTCTTTTTCGATTGTACGCGGATAGTGTTCGCGGCCAATGAAATCTGTAACCCCTCGTTTTATGACCGTCACATATTTGTTTCCACTAGCGCAGATTCGTGGGGCGATCCTCGGCACGCGAGTCGCAAATCTTTTCGTTGTCTGCGAACGAGTACCTCGATCGTCGAACTAACGATGTCGTAAACTGATTTTTCGGGTGAATCGGCGTAAGAACGAGAGAGAAAGGAAACTGCGTGAATGTAAACGAGCGAACGTAGCAAACGTGTGCTTGAATAATGGATCCGTTCGCTTTTCGTTTACCGCGATCGGTGATACACAATTGGCGATACAACATCGAAAATTGAGAAATTATACGAGAGTTGATCAATACTTAAAAATATACCAAAAACCGTGTCACGAGAATTTAAAAAAGTGAAACGTCACCCCTGCACAGCCCGCCACACTACGGCAGAATCATTGAATGATTAAAAAAATATAAACAGAAAAAGATACAAAAAAAAAGACAAAAAATATGAATGATGTTTTATTAATATTGTAAATATTTTAAATAATTGAAGACGGACAAACAGATCATGCGCGAACGGTGAACCCACCGGAAGTCGGTCCCGCTTGGATAGGACCGTCTTTTGCGTTCGGGGTCCCTTTCTAACACTTTTTCTGTTTTTCGTTTTAGCGTCGCATATGTTATACACACACACACTCTACACACGTACACATCTTTACACGCCAAGAGAAAAAGAAAATCACGTGCGAACATAGAGAGAAAAAGACACACGTACACGCTCAGATAAAATGTACACCGCTCTACCAAACTAATCTCTTTCTGATTGATGATTCCTTTCATATTGATTATTCTGTAAGTTCTGTTTTCACACGTGAAATACATTAAGAAAGAAACGAGAGACATTGTCCAACCCAAGTGTCATTACTTTTGATGTTAAATAAAAAATACATAATTAATAAAGCACTCTTTATCGTTTCGTCCTGACGCTTCATGCTTAGACATATGTAGGCAACCCATTAAACTTTCATTTAATTCTTTATAGTATTTATTATGCTTATATACAATTATCATTATTTCTGTTACATTTAACTTTCTTAAACGTTCATTCGATCAATATTTATTGCCTTCCCTATGCCTTATTTTATTCAGAAGTAGATGCCAATCTCTGTCTATCCTTGCGAAGATTCTTCTTACGCAACCTTTCAATATGCTTCTTAAGTTTGCCAGAATTTTTCAATTCCTCGTACTGAGATACCAAGTTCAAAACTTTCTTCTCCGCTGCAAAAGATAATATTCTTAGTTAGTTCGTGACCACATACATTGTGCAAACTACTTACATTTCTTTTTAAAGGCAGGTTTCTCTCCGCGTTTAATGGCCTCCACTATTTCCTTCTTTTCCTTGCCCTTCTGCTCCTCCTCCTGATCCTTCCTCTGCTCTTCGCGTAACTGATTCTCTAATCTTTGTATGAGGTATTTGATTTTCTTAGTCGTCTTTGGATCATCTGTCTCCTTTAATTGCTTTTTCAGTGCTGCTAAGTCATTCTTCTTGATCTCGGTAAGGAATCCATAAGTCTTTTTAAATACTTTCTGGTCAAATGCGCCACATAAACTGTCGAATCTAGGGTCTCTAGGAATGAACTTCTTTGTCTGTACCACTTCCCTGAATCTGGAAACAGGTTTCTTTGCAGACATTTCCCTTGGACGGTTTTTGTTTTCCCTTTTATATTCAACTTTCTTAACCTTGCGGGGACCAAACAATGCTTCCTTGTAAATTTTAGTTCCCAGCTTGTTTTTCAGCTTCTGAAGATCCTCAAAACTCATCTGAGAGAGTTCTGAACGAATCTGATCCTGTTGTGGTAAGTACTCCCATTAATTTAAGTGTAATTTTTGTTCAAAGGAAATGTAAACATAACCTATCACGTTCAACACAATGTGTATTTAATGGACGTGTCGATTAAAATATTACATTAAACTATTCTGTGTAAATCTCTACCTGATCCTTATCTTCGCGGAGAAGCGTATCTTCCTCATCGCTCATGTTAGACAATAAAAAAGACTTTTAAAGCGAACAGTCTTCTTCTGTGATTTAAGACAGATCAAAATGGTCGCCATTTTTTAATACAAATGAGTCTAGCAGTACAATTTTTGGATTTACAGACTTGTTAACACCTTTAAAACGTTCTAAAGACAATTAAGGTTGATTCTTGGGTCATATTATTCATTATTGAGTCGGAAAGGGAGAATATTTAATAAATAATTACGAAAACAGTACGGTGAACGCCACTTGGCAGCAAGTGGTATTTAGTAAGATATAAAATTGTGATTTTCTATGAAATAAGCAATTTTTAAGCAATGTTAAGGATAGTATCGTACTTTATAAGCTCCCCTGCGCTGAAATAATGTCGTAATTACTGGCTAAAAGCATTAGAATCGAAAATAAAAATAATGTGCATTTCATGGACCAAAAAACCCTTAGCCACCTAGCGGTGGACGGCCGAACTAATGAAATAGAAAATTGCGTTTTTCTCCAAAATGAGGGATTTTTACGCATTTCTGAGACGTGTAAAGTGTTCTACGACCTCAATTTAACAGGAAAAGTGGTATCATAGTGTGCTAAATTATTTAGGAAAGAAAATGAAAAATATTGCATTTTATGGACCAAAAAATCGTTAGCCACCTAGCGGTGAAAAGTGGAACTAACAAAATAAAAAATTGCGATTTTCTCAAAATTGAGCGACTTTTAAGCATTTCTGAGGCCAGAAATGAATTCTACGCACTCAATTCTATTGAAAAAATGCTATAGCAGTGCGCTAAATGCATTAATAAAGAAAATGAAAAATATTGCATTTTATGGACCAACAAAACCTTAGCCATCTAGCGGCGAAAGGCGGAACTAATTTAGGTCATTCCAGAGGGGTCATTTTTTTAGATTAGTTCATGTGTTCCGCCGCTAGATGGCGCCACTATTTTTCTCCATAAAATGCAATATTTTTCATTTTCTTTCCTAATGCATTTAGCGCACTGCCATAGCATTTTTTCAATAGATTTGAGTGCGTAGAATTCATTTCTGGCCTCAGAAAACCCCTAAAGTCACTCAATTTTGATAAAATCGCAATTTTTTATTTCGTTAGTTCCACTTTTCACCGCTAGGTGACTAACGATTTTTTGGTCCATAAAATGCAATATTTTTCATTTTCTTTCCTAAATAATTTAGCACACTATGATACCACTTTTCCTGTTAAATTGAGGTCGTAGAACACTTTACACGTCTCAGAAATGCGTAAAAATCCCGCATTTTGGAGAAAAACGCAATTTTCTATTTCGTTAGTTCGGCCGTTCACCGCTAGGTGGCTAAGGTTTTTTTAGTCCATGAAATGGCATTATTTTAATTTTCGTATATAAAGCTTTTCGATTACTGTAAGGACATTTTCCTGACTTTATTGTTCTCGCAAAACAGTTTTCAGGAGTCAGTGATATGTAAAAACGTCTGATTTTACGAAAAAATGCAATTACGTATCTCTTGTTTTCAGACAGCGCGCGAAAATTTAAATTTTAATTTATGTCGAAACGAGACTTCGTAAATACTTTCAATTCTTTAAGTCATTTATTATATAGTAGACCACTATTTTTATATCTTCTTTTGTATGTAATATAATTAAACAAGTTGTAACTATATACTCCGTAATATTATAACCTTTAGTTCTGTCTATTTCATACTAATCTAACCTAATTTGAACACTGTTTTTAAAAATGGCTGCGTTGTGCCGTGTTATTAAAAATTTTGGAAAAATTGTATCCTTACAGAGTCAGAATAGGAATATATCTGTTTCTGGAGCAGCTTACCTTAAAGAAAGTAAATAACATACACAGAAGTGTTGGTTAAACAAGAATATTTATTTCTAATTCAGCATACATAACCTATACAATCTAATTCTTGTTTATTTTACAGTAATTGAGAAAAAGGAAGGGAATACGATAGTTGTTGAAGGCATAGTAAAACGGGATGAACGAGAAGCACGGTTGTTAAAAGCTAAGAATGGAGCATGTCCTCTCTGTTCCTCCGGTCTTGATGTTAAGCATACAGTATGGTCTAAATACCTTCTTATACATTTTATATTTGTTTGATTCATTATAATTTTTACTTACTGATTATATCATTACAGGATGTTCTCATTTTAAGTCAGTTTACTAGATCGGATGGTTGTATATTGCCCCGCAGAATTACTGGTCTTTGTGAAGTACAGCAGAAAAGAATTTCTTCGTTGATTATCATGGCTCAATATGCAGGTTAATATATCAGTATCAAATATCAGTAATTTAATAAAACATAAACAATAAATTAATGACGTGTTGATTGTAGGTTTATTGCCTATAAGAAGTCCCAAGGGTGGTGTACTTCATCCTTTACAAAGACGAAAGTGGAGAAAATTTAATACTTACTTTGATGAAAAAACTATTAAAGCTAGATATAATAATGTGTAAAAGAATAGAATAAACATTTCCTGAATATCATAACAGTTTGTGCTGTCTTATTTCATTGAACGTTGAAATTGGAAATAATATTTCGTGGTTACGTTAGTGACAGTATAGGTTAGGAATCATGCTGACATGTTATAGGTCAGTAGCAAGTACTTGGTGCAAATTACAGAAAAGGTATGCATCAAATAGTGCAGCGGTTCTGAAAAAGCAGTATGAAGAACATGATGTCACGAAAATTCGAAATATCGGAATTCTGGCACATATCGATGCCGGTTTGTATAATTTTAATACACTCTATACTATAACCTATTAAAAACCGTCCCCATTTCATTAAAGAATTCGTAATGTTTGGAATGATTTTTCAGGAAAAACTACTACTACAGAAAGAATGTTGTATTATTCTGGCCTCATAAAATGTATGGGAGAAGTACATCATGGTAATACGGTAACAGATTATATGGATCAGGAACGCGAACGTGGTATAACAATCACCTCTGCAGCGGTAACTTTTGATTGGAAAAATCATCGTATTAATTTAATAGACACTCCAGGTCATATTGACTTCACTATGGAGGTAGAGCAGACATTAAGAGTGTTAGATGGTGCAGTTGTTATATTAGACGGTAGTGCAGGTGTTGAGGCACAGACATTGACAGTCTGCAAACAAGCAGACAAGTACAATATACCAAGAATTATTTATGTAAATAAAATGGACAGGGCAGATGCCAATTTCGATATGAGTTTGAAATCTATTCAGTCAAAACTAAACACAGAAGCCTTGCCAACTCAGTTTCCCATAAAGAATAAAGGAATTTTAGAAGGGATTGTGGATGTGATTTGCTTGGAGAAATTATTCTTCGAAACAAAGCATATGGGCATGACAGTTGTAAGATCAAAATTGTCTGAATCTGGAGACAAAGCCTTGTGGGAGACAGCAATGGAAAAACGTAGAAATTTAACCGATAAATTATCTAGCATAGATGATAAGTTAGCTGATGTAATTATAGAGCAGGAATCTTTAGATGCAATTTCTTCGCAGCTACTACTTGACTCGCTGTACAGAAGTACCATAAGTAGAAAAGCTGTTCCTGTACTTTTAGGTAGTTCCTACAAAAATATAGGAGTGCAACCATTAATGGACGCTGTGCTACTGTATTTACCATCACCCAATGAAAACAAATACTTAAAGTACTACAACACTTTTAACAACAATCTTTCTGCCAGAGTGTTCAAGGTAATTCACGACAAGCAAAGAGGTCCAATTTCTTTCCTCAGAGTCTATACCGGCAGCATAGAAAGACATAATAAACTATACAACATTCACAAGGAGCAAAGAGAGCAAGTAAACAGGTTATACGTCGCTTGTGCAGACGACTATCAAGAAGTATCCAAAGTTACACATGGCAACATAGCTGCAGTCGCGGGACTAAAAACAACCACAACCGGTGACCTAATAACGTCCAATCAAACAGCAGCAACTGAGGCAAGAAAGAAACTCCAGTCCCGCAAAGACATTGACCAGAAAGTCGTGGATGACTTCTTCGCCTCAAACTCAAAAGCTTTAGAGCCCGTTTTCTTCTGTTCCATAGAAGCACCGTCCCTGTCTACGCAGGCAGCTTTAGAGACTGCACTTCAGCAATTGGAAAGAGAAGACCCAAGTTTAAAAGTAACTTACGGCAACGAGTCTGGTCAAACCGTGCTAGCAGGCATGGGTGAACTGCACATCGAGATCATCAAGGAAAGAATTAGAAAGGAATACAAAGTCGACGCCGACACAGGACCCCTGCAGATCTCTTACAGAGAGACCATCACGGAATCTGTTAGGGACACATACACCTGCGAATACAAGATAGGAAACGCAAATCCCAAAGTCACATTAATTATGTCAGTAATACCAGACTACATGGAAGACGTGAAGTTACTGCTTGATAGAACAGCAGAATCCGTCGCTAACGTAGACGCTATTCCAGTTAAATTTATGGCAGCCATCAAAGCTGGCGTTAACTCAGTTTTATCAAGCGGACCAAAGTTAGGGTTTCCAGTAGTAAATATGGGCATTAAGTTGCATTGGTTCGAGGTCGGACGAGGAACTATGCCATCGATAATTACGGCTGCTGTGTCCCAATGCATCAAGCAGGTGAGACACTTATGTGAAATATAATCAGATATAGGTTTAGGGATAAACAATATATTAACAAATGACAAAGTGCAGAGTTTAACAGAGTTTAATTCAAGTAGCGTCGTTCTCGTTACGCTTACTCGTATCACCGCTTGTTTTAGATGATTCTGAAGTACTTCTTCCAGCGTCAGGTTTGACTTCTGCCAGAAAATGCAAAGACTTAGGCTTACACTCTAACATAGTCCTCTTCAAATTCTGCTTCGTCGCATCGTTACTCTTCAACGATTTATCGTGAGGAAGAAAGTACCTGTGTCTCCAGTTGTCCTGTATGTTCTTCACAGCATTCTTGTCTTTGATCCTTTGGTTATCGGTGAACGTGCGAAGGACGTTAATTCTTCTGCGAGCTTCATCCGCAATGTTGCTAGGATTAGGAATTCTCACGTTCGCCGTGGATGCTGGCAAGGCGTAAGGCTTCAGTTTCGCATTCTGCTTCAGCTCCAGAACATGTGGCAGTTTTGAAGGTTGTCTATCGAAGAAGCTGTTGATCAGTACGTTCGTTTTCATCTGCAAGTTCTTCAGGAAGTTCTCGTCGAGCATTCTGCTGCGTCCAGCAGGACATCTGAAAATACTACGACCTATCTCATCCTCGCTCACGTTTTCGGCGCTGGAGTGTTTTATGTTGCTCTTCAAATTATTGCCAGCCTTGATTTTACTCTTGTTTCTCTTGTTAGATGTTTGCGACGATCTTTCCACGGTGTGAATGCCCCACTTCAGCATGTAAGAGTCGAGGAATCTGTGGTACAACTTAGGACAGATCTCCTGCTGGTCGTAGTGCTTGTCTATGAAGTACACCCTACGGAGACGGCAATTTCCGCTAATCTGTATCCTCTGCGTGATCGCATACTCGCTCTTGAAGATAGTCTGAGTCAGACTCGACAGGTTTAGTTCCAGTTTATTCCAGCCGGTTTCCAGTTTCAATTTGGCGCGACAAATCAGGCCCCTAGAGTTTTGCTTCTCCCCCTCGACGTTGGTGAATTGGAAATGATGCTGACAATTTTGGGTATCTGCCACCTAGTTGGGAATTTAAGGAACTAGAGAGTTTGAAATTTAGGTATAACGCCCCTAGCGCGTGGGCTGCAAACTAGGGATCCCCAGCTGAAGACCCCAGATAGATACAGACCTCGCACAGAACTTATTACCTGCAATTGCAGTCGACAGGGTAAATTTACATTTTTAATGACCACGACTAGAATCGGTAGCTCGATGTTGAGAAACAGAGAGGAATCTGAAGGACACAAAATGGAAGTGCCATAACTGTTCGGTTGTTCGAAGTCCTGTATCTCGATAACCTGTTATTGGTTTCAATGATCAACAAGATTCAATTTGAGTCGATTCACTTCAGATTCTACAATACGAACGTACATTTTCCAATAGATCGGAGTCTAAGATCTTACGTATGCGACCTGACTGAGACTGCTGTTTGCTCCAATATTCTAAGGGCTTGTCGCCGATACTGTACAACAGAGACACATACCCAGCAACCATGAAACGATAGGATTATTTTACGAAAAATGCAGGCATTGATGCGTGTCGATACTTTGAAATTTACATGATTTCGTTTCGTTTGTTTTCTGAAGGACCAACTTCAAAGAGCATTTCACTTGGGACTATGTTCCTTTGAAACTGATTAAAATTAGTAGGCTAAGGAATAATTGCCTTTACGACACAAGTTTAGAACTTGTTCTCAACTTATTGTTAAATATATGTCATATGAATGTTATCTAAATCTTTCAATAGCTGATGCGAGATGCTGACGTGAAACTTCTGGAACCCATCATGCGGTTAGAAGTGGTGGTACCTGACGATTACTCGAGTGCTGTTTTAAAGGACCTATCCAAGAGACGCGCAGAAGTGCAGTTTATAGACGTACGTGGAAATAGCAAGGTACGCTTTTTAATTTTACATATAAAGAGTTTCTTCGGTGTATATTTGATTGAATTGGCAGACTAATCCCGGTATATTATATAAAACTAGCTTATCCACCCTATACAAGAGTTATGCGAATGTCACTAACTTCCAAGATTTAAATTCAATGGTACATGTATATAAAAGAAAAATATATGCAGGTGATAAAGTGTCTTGCCCCACTGTCCGAGCTTCTGGGCTACTCGACAGCAGTGAGAGTGGTCTCTTCGGGTCATGCAACATTTTCGCTGGAATTTGATCATTACCGAAAGATGGATGCGATGGTCGAAGCGGAGGCGATTAAAAAGGCGACAGGCTTCTATTAGGAGAACGTTGAACAGGAACGTAAAACTGTGCACACGTCCGTGCGATATTATACAAAATCATTTCTTTTTTGTTTTTTGTATTCAGAAATCATCGATTCGACTGTACAAATATATAAAATTCGACCATTAACGCTGTACGAGTTTATTTGCACGTTCTATCACGGGAACGTTTTTCGTTCCAAACATCCATGACGTTTACGAGAAGAACTCGTAAACGAACATGTACGCAATATCCCTCAACTTACAGCTAGATGAAGTTTACAATTATGATACACAATTGAAACACATCGTTATTATTCGTCGACAATTATATAATGTTTAATTGATTTACTCGTTCGATCCAATCAAAATGTATTGCAGCGTTCATCGATGGTGCGTTACAATTTTATCTTAATTAACGATCGTTGATCGCGACCGCCGATCACGGGGCTGAAATCGAGCAGGTCGTAAAACCGTCTACCTCCTCTCTCTTGCTAATGCTATATGTATAATATTATAATAAAAAAAAAGAAAGAAGAAAGTCTTATCGAAAATATCGGCCAGCCTCGCAAACAGCAGCCGCGTATAAATATATTAATATTGCTTAAAGATCATGCAAAAATGTCATACATAGTAAAATATATGTATGTATATATATTATATGTATGGAGGGATTACATATTACGGGAAACTTGCAAACCACGTCATTTGCTCGTAAAAATCTTCTCGTTATTCGTAATGTAAATGAGCGGCATCGACGCGAATCGAAATGCCAAAAAACAATATCCGTTTCTCACAGTCTATCAAGAATGCGAGAGTAAAGGCATTCCTCGAATCTTTACAACGTACGCATACGTTCATACGGTACACTCCCGTTATATTGCCACCTTCATGCATACTAGCGACTCTCCAGTCACTGGCTACAAAGTAATTCCAGAATTTCAAACTCGCAACATTACAAATTTACAATTCTCAAATTTTTAGCGACAAAAATTGCTAGCATCGAATTTTGACAAACAAACACTGCATACAAAGAGTGTCGTTTACATGGCCTTTCTCAAACTTTCATTGAAATCTCCATTCGTGGCCACATAACGAGACTCTACTGTAAAAAAATCATCGTCGAGTCGCGTGTCTCCTCGAATAACAGCGCATAAGGTGCCATGCAAGAGGCCTGATTCAAAAAAGATGGCCGCCTACTTTCTTAACCTATCAGAGAGTTTTGAGCGCTAAGATGAATCCCTTAGCCTTAACGCGTAAAACTTGCTTCTTCATCTTCTGTACAAAGTTTCGAAAGGTCCAAGACACGGCGTTGACACCTCTTTCATTCCGGATCGTCCTCGTTAGATCCGTACTCGAGGTCATCTTGGCGTCACAAGCTCACCAGCTTCGGTGGATTTGCATCTGGGGAGCTGAGGTCAACGGCAGACAGGTTGTTTCTCTGCTGCGTCGAGCAGGATGGTATCAAGGGCGTGGAAACTGGCGTGAGGCCGGTACCACCCTCCATCAGGGACTCGAAGTTGAAGGGTATGCCGCTCGTAGGGGTAGTGATGGGCATCCCAACGACGTCCAATGACGGTTTCATGAAAGATGGCGTCTCGACGGTCTTGAACGTGAGCGAGTCAGGTCTCTCCTTCGATTCGGTGAAGATCGACAGGGAGTTTGGCCGGTTATTATTGTCGAAACCGACTGGCAACGAGTTCGGCCGGTTTGGTCTTACAGCGGCATTCAGCGATTCGCGTTTCGCGTTGTCGACGCTGGCGAACTGATGATCCTCGGCCGGAAGTTCTGGCTTTATCACGGGCTTCACGTCCGGCGGAGACCTGGAACCGAGTCGACAGACTGCTCTGTGAGCCTCCAGGATGAACTCCAGCTCGTCTTTGGCTTGTTGCAGCTGGTGGATCTCCTCTTGCAAGCTTTGCTTCTTTTGTTCCAAACCCTCAGTCTCCTGCAACATACGCAATGTTACATTCTCCGCTCATTGTCTCTTAATACGTTGTAGGTTATCTAGTAGGTAGATTTATCAAGAATCTCGGACAATTTCTAAATCTCCAAATTGAAAATATCTGATCTCTGCGCATAGCAACTCATGACATACTCCGCAAGGGTGAAATGTTAGAAGGTAGAGCAGATCCATAAGGGACGCATTAGCAGACGTCAGGAATAAGATGGATCTCGACGATCACTTACTTCTAACAGGGCATTGGTATGATCCATCCTTCGCTTGCGGCATCTGGCTGCTGCCATTTTATTCCTCTCTCTGCGTATCTGTCGTCGTTCCTCCTCTTCGGGTGTCATCCCGATCGTTCTCGTCGGCCTTCTACCGCCCATGTTGCGTCTGGTCGGTTGCTGCGGCTGTTGCGTCTGTTGGCTGTCCACCAGGGTGGTGTTGGTAGCCACAGGGCCGGCTGACACGTTGGTGACGATGTGATGGGCCGACGTGTTCTGCGTTTGTGCCGGCGTCGGCTGCGAGGGCTCAACCAACGGGGGTACAAAGCCTGCTTCGCGACTGTGTGACGCTGACTCGCTGGTCAGCTCCAGGAACGTCTGTTCGATGCTGCGGAGCGTTGTCGGCGTCAATGTCGGCGTCGTTCTGGTCGGCACTCCGCTGTGCAAGCCGTCCAAAGAAACGAGCTGTAACAGAGAAACCGTTGTTTAATTCTACTGTAACCCTTCCGAGATCTATTATCTAGTTATTGGGAAAGGACAGTTAAGTATTTCTCAATATTGACTTTTGTGGAACAGTATAAGCTTGCAGAGGCTTTTCTTATCGGCATCCTTCAAAAAGTTAATAAGAAATAAAAGGCGAAGTCGATACGATTTTCATTGTCGTCAATATCGTCCACACCCAACACCTGCTGCGCAGTGACCATGTAAAAGATGGCTATAAATCGTAATATCGCCAGATGCGATAACACGGTAAACGTATCGAAAACGTTCCTCAGGTTAATGCGAACAGAAGGCGATACTGCGCCTTAGATCGTCGGCTTTATTACCCAAACAGATAAAAAAGTTTGTCGTATGTTGGTGAAGCAAGAGAACCATTCCAATAAACGCTTTCATACCAAGGAAAAAAAGACCGTTGCGCAACGGGCCACAAAAAGCCAGGAAAAAAGCGAAAGAAACACGATAGACAGGTATATACACCTTTGGCAAACGTTATCATTTCCTTTTGATATCGCGAACCGCTAATCCACCGGGAGATGTCCCGATAAAAATACCCGTGATCCAATAGACGATAAGCTATCACTGCGAACCAGATCGTCAGGGTTGTGTTTCAAGGTATGCGTGCATCTCTGTCGTCACTATCATCATCGCTAAAATTACGACCATTATCGCGACGTTCCCAATAATTATCCCTACCGATTTCCCTTCTTCGTAATCTTCGATAAGGTTTTCTGAAATTAGTGATGGGTTTAACCCTTGAGTGAGTAACTGTTTTTTGAGCAATTATCTTTGAGTAGGGAAAGCCTTTAAAGTTATGTTGCAATATTTATGGGTATTTATGGGGAATCTGTGATGTGTAACTATGGAGTTATGGTAGCGAGGAACTACCCTTACGCCATTTTGCGCGGACACGTACAAATCTTGTAATTAATTTCCCGAATTAACATTCTTAATTTTGCAGATTGCTAAATGATTCAGATCCGCAAATTTCCCAAATTTTCAAACTCTCTGAAAAACCTGTTAACTTTGCCGCCATTTTTCCTAACACATACACAGATTGTGCGCCTCGCAAAGGGGTTAATTATGATATTAGAACAGCGAAGTAATCGAACGATCTCTCTCTGTTGAAGGAGCAACGTGTAAATTCCTGTGCAATGATGCTTGAACAGTGCTGGGAATCGTGTTCGATTTCTCGGACGTCTAATCTATCCGTGAATCGGCCTTCGTTAACTATCAGAACGTAATTTTAGAAATGATAGAGTCTATCGGTTGGTTCGTTGTCTCTTCGTTTAGGTGAACGAAGGACGTGCTTTTCTCCTTCCTGCGTCCTTTTGTGCTTTCTGGGAAACGTGTGTGCGATGTCGGTGCTATAATACGTCGCGAGTCCCTCTCTCGTCTGCCGATTGGTCGACGCGATAATGGTGAACGCGAGGTTGTCGCTACGTGAGCTGTGATTCGAGCCAAGTCATTAATATCGTCCGTAGCTGAACGCGTACACAACAACTTTTATTGTCGATGAAATCCATCGACGGCTGCACGACAGACAATTGTTTCCATCATCGACTGCTCTCTTCAGCTTGCGAAACACGTTAGATTGTTTCACTTTTAAATTTGTAACTGGATGATCATTCCTCAGTGTGACGCTCTAAGTACAATTTAAAAGCATTCTCCATGTTAAAATAAACCTAGGAACTATCTGAGAATTGTCTAAAACATCATGAAGATCTTATGTGACATTAAATAGAAACAACAAGTAGAATGTGACATTATGTAGCAACAATTTTAGGTCCAGTGACATCCTATTTTCCTAGATAGGATCTAGGATGAGTCCAAGAAATGTGGGTGCACCCAAAACACAATCAAAAGATTACCCTAAGAGAATTCTAGAGTGAATATACAAAGTGAATGTACAAAGTGAATATACAAAGTGAATGTATTCATTGAGTATACAATGAGTTTAAGATGAATCTAGGAAGTGTAAAGAAACAGGAAGAATCTAGTAAAGCCTGAAGATAAAACTTGAACATAATCTGTATATTCCTTTCACATTTTTTATCGACTCGTGTACATTGCACCCGTACACGTAATGTTTAATAATTAATGCGAATAAAAAAAAGCATTACTAACGCAACATACGGTTGATAACTGTTTTGCAAGGCACGAGTTCACTGATACTTATCAGAATGCGTTTTGCAGGTTGAGTATCCCGTGACCGTGACGTAACTCTTCCAATTTTGTGCGAAAATTTGCATTCCAATATATTTAGAAAACGAAACGACGACAATCACGAGATATTACTTTCGCGTGTGTCATCGCTAAAATTATTTAGCGTAAACAACGACTTTGGTATAATCATCCACCTACAATATTCGCGGCCCGTCTATTTAATGTTGTTGTACGCGGGAATTTCAGGAATGTCCGGAGCGATAAACTTAGGCGTTACCAAATCGTTTTCGCGCGTCACTGATTTCTGGAATTTTGGGCCAACCCCTCCGCTTTCCCCAAAATTCCGGAATTTTGGTTCAGATACTTTCACCCGTCAATTTCTACGTATTTTCTTTTTGTGGAGGATTAGTTTCGGGAGTATTGGCAAGTTCGACAAACGCGCATGCGCGACAATCAATAACGTTTATTTGGAAACCTCCCTCGATTTGGCACGATTCGAAATTTATAATCGAGACCATTCCGTTATTGTAACCGTGATTAAGGACGCGATAAATTTAGAAACGAACATTCGTGCGAGGAGTTATCGGCTCGTATTTACTTGTTATTGGGCCGAAAACGCGCAGTCGATCGACAAAGGTGTGGTCATCGATATCCTTGCCGGAAAGAAAAATTTCGTTTATCTACAGAACAGGAAAATCGACGTAGTCGTGTTTGCGGTAAAGAGATTATCGACCCCTTTTCGTTATCTACCGCGAAAATTCGATCGCTTCTTAGAATTTCTCGTACGACACAATTTCGATAAAAATTGAATAGCGATAATTACGAAGCGAGTTGAAAAAATTGTAAAACGGTAGGTGTATCGAAGATTAATAAAAAGGAAATGCTGGTGCTATCAGTTTTTTCAACCGTCACGAGACCGCGATTAATACCACGGCACATTCGTTGACCGACGGGACGTTCACCTTGCTCGGCATCGTCACTTTGAATACGTCAGGCTATACGTGGTGTTAGTGAACGAACTCTGTACCATTTTGTCTGGCATATCTGTTCAGGTTCCGACATGTCAGTGCCTGTCCGACGGAACACATGCTTCGTAGACCAGACGGACCTTATACAGTAGTAAGCCACGTTTTAACATTAAGGGGCGCACAATTAGATAAATGAAAATAAGCTGATATTTGTGAATTTTTTTTTATAGGACACCTTTGTTTTGCATTTTTGAAATTGCAGGTATAATTTATTATAACTATTGCCTATTACAGAATATTTTCTCTTTTGAAAAATATTTCAAAATGCCGGAGTTATGACAGTTCTTTTTGGAAGTGTTTTGGTGCGTCTCGTGAATCGTGGGTTCTAGCTTTAGATATATTAAAGTTTGCAGACTATGTTTCGAAAACTGACATTCACAGTTAGATGAACCTCAGAAATGTGCAAAATATGTAAAATTAAGGTACACGTTTTGTTAAAGTAACATAACATTGCTTTTCATCAAGATAAAAAATGTGTGTATTAATTTATGGTTCGTCGTTTATTTATTTTTTAATTTAAAATTAAGTACACGTTATATGTAGGTTTAGTGTTAATACTTAACGAACATTACCTACATATTTCAGAACCTTTTCCTGTGATTTAACATTTAATCTCCAGATTCCAGATTTATTTCAAAAACAATAATTTTCTTTTTTCTGGTTCGTTATAGTTAAGCAGTCGTTTTTCATTAGCATTTTGCAACAGTAAAATACATATATGCATCGTTTCTAGAAATAGCTGCGTATCCTACCCTGAATTCTTGCATCTCTCGCATCGTGCATCGTTCACCTAATCGCAATGCAAGGAATGCAGAACATTCGTACACGCCGTACGTGTTTTCTTTGCAAAATATAGAAAAAAAATCGAGTGATAAATCAGGGGTTTTAATTTCTTCAGCGGTGGGTAAATCGATCGATGAATCTGTGTACCGCTTTGAGGTATACGCCCCATGGGCGTTAGTCACGTATGATAAATGATATTAAACCGTATGCGTATATCATGATCCTTCATTGTAAAAAATGTATAAAAAGAAAACCAAACATAATCTGTTCGAATAATGGATCAGTAAAATACACGAGAACCTAGAAAATCTGAAGGAAAGGCGAGAAGCAGTGATGAGCTCTCATAGGATTTTTTCTTACTGCCAATGTGCGCATGCATAAGCAGCAGCTGCTGTAACGTCGCTCGCGCATGCGCAGACTCATAGAAAAAATCGCGAGGCAGTATCTAAAAGCGTAGAGAAAGTCTATAAAAAAACATCTTCCATTTACATATCTACAATTCCAGCAGCTGTACACGCAGGTTTGAATGTTTTAAGGCCGGAGAATTCCAGCCTAAACAAAAATCGTTACGCCAGCGATAACGAAGGCTACAATATGATGTATTGAAGAATTACTGACACGCGTTTGTACGGCAGCATTTCAATTATCGACACAGGGTACCAGAGATCACGATTTTGAAATCAATCAAACTTCAGTCGCAAGGTCACGAGATCGTGGTACACGATGGAGAGAGAAACAAAGATAAAAAGGTTACACAGCGATCGTGGCGTCAAAAGTCGTATCACCCTGGCAACCAAGGCGGACGGGAAACGTTTCACGCAGATGCGCGATGGCGCCTTTTTTTCAATATTCGACGTTGGCATGCGTGCTCGTCTTCCGTTTTGCGATGCAGTCGTTCTCTTTCCTCTGTTCGTTGTACACGCGCGGCAACGGACACACGGAGAGATACGTGTACGGATGCGCGCGCATACACGCGAAATCAACGCATATCCACCACACACACGCTCGCTGCTGCTATAAATAAATGCGTTTGCTGTTTAATCTACTCTGGGCCCGTGCGAGCGGACAAAGGGCGATATCGATAACCGAAAAATCATTATAAAACGGTCAGATTCCGATCTTGTGTTTTCTCGGAAAGCAAGAAGGTTTTGAAAGAGAAGATTAGAAAATGTCTGCAGTGAACTGAACTGGCGAACCGAATTTTTGCGCAACGCGCATGCGCGTAACACTATACCGCGAAAAATAGATTCCTCCTAAAAACAGAGTTCACCTCGACATCGAGGACGATAAAGATTATGATCGGACATCTTAACCTCAGTAGACACCTTCCAAAAAATCTAGCCTTTCCATAAACAAGAAAAACCTAACCCATAAAGACCTTCCCAAAATCAAAAAGCAAGTGGAAGGCTACTCTTTAACCCTTGGATAAAAGAAAGTTATGTTGCAGTCGATATATCGTGGAATATTTTATACTCGCGTGCACTGACTCGTTAAAGTCTATATGTATAGTGTATAAATGATTTCACGCGCGTTCACAGTCCCGATCAGCGGAGGTTACTTTTTTCCTAGCGTTTCTCTAAAGGCAGGGTAGCGATATAGTTTCAGCGGTTTTTACGAGAACATAAAAATATTCGTGCCGTGGTTTCATACGCAACTCGTTTACGATCTGTTTGTTTCACCGAAGCGGGTGGAACCTCCAATGGTTGTTGCACAATGTTGCACAATTCTTGCTCGTCCGCATCGCAATAATGATCCCGCATACGTTAACAGGCTCAATAGCACGCGTTCACGCGTCGAATAGAGACTTTCTCCTTCAAGTTCATCCATCCGTCGCGCGCGACCGCGTGCGCCATATTGTTTTTTTGTTGTTTTCAGTCTCGCCTCTTGTTTGTATTCATCGTCGTCGGGTTAGCGCGTGCTTCGAAAGAGACGGGAGAAAGGTGATAATTTTTCATCCTCACGCACGCGAGTTTTTTGTAAACCGCCTTCGAGACGTTGTTATCGATACTTGCCGATAGCATTGATAATACCGTCAAGATATTATTATTAATGGAACTTCAAACGAATACATTAGTGTCAGGTTAAGTTGTGAATAGGTTAGGGTAGGTTAGGTCTGAAGTTCAAGAATAAATAAGCTTGAATGACAAAATTACACGTTAGGTTGGGGTTAAACGAATTTGAATGATAAAATTACTCGGGTTAAGTTAGATTTGAAGAAATAGACGATAAAATTACCGTCAGGTTAGGTTACATATGAACTTCAAACAAGAGTAAATTGAATAAGATTGTACTTCGGTTCACGCATATCTGAACCATATCGATATACCGATCGATAGCAACTTTTAACTCCACACATCGAGTGAATGAAACACTTAATTCGAAGGCCTGCCAAGTGGCATGTTTATTTTAGACAGTCGCTTTCGTGCCCCATTCGGGATCCATTATTCTGTTTTCCCCAAATAAGAGGCTACTTTTCTGAAGGAAACAATGTGCATATATAACCGAACCGTCTTCGAGCGAGGCTGACAATTCAATAACAATACACGTCATCGATTCAATTAGGTATCTCCGAAGATCCGAGTGATCTATATTTAAATCTACCACTTTCACATCGAGACGAGACTCGGTGTATCAAAAAAATTTCTCTAGTTCCTTGCTACCAATAGCGACATCTTTAGTTGCATCGCGAAAGTTTTTAAAGACATTTTTTGTCACATAATCTCCGGGGACATAACGTTAGGATTTATTTGTTGGAACAAAGAAATATGGCGCGTGTCGGATATCTATCACTTTCAAAATAAATCACCCAGCTGTTTCAACAAGCCTTACCTAATGACAGCCCATTTGGTCGTAAACAAAGACAGAATATATTTATTAACGAGTCCTAGAAATTGTGTGCGGTCATGACAGCACCTTCGAAGGTCCTCACCCTGATAGATATCGTAACAGTATCGATATATAAATTATCATATGGCACAATACAGTAGTTATCAAAGCTTGAAATTTCAGGACTGACTCAGACAATTCTTAGGTATGAAAGGGGTAACGACGTCTCGAAAAAGCATTGAAATACACGAAAACAGTAGCACATGTTACCTGCTGATAAAGCAGTTCCTGCGCGAGGATATTAGCAATGTCGACTGGATCCATGGCGGTGGCTGCCATAGCTCGTTATATTTCGTTCAGTAATTCGTTTCGTCGTTGAAAATAAAAAGTGGCTTAGGAAGGGATGCGGGAAAGACGGGAAAGCAAGGAAAGGTTAAGTAGGGAAATCGAGGATTTTACAGGAAAAAAGTAATTTCAGTCGATCGTTCGTTCGTGAGAGATCGTTCGGACGTCGGTGTGCGCTCCCCTCCCCCTAATATCTCTTTCTCTCCTCTCTCGATTCTCTTCCCTCGTGCACGCTCTTCTTCTCACTTTTCGAAGAGTTCGTCGTCACCACTGCGTCCTCCACCGACGCCTCTCTTACACTGAGCTTCTTCGATGCCGCTCTGTTCTTCGTGGCCATACGCGACGAGGAAACCTAATCTAAAAATAACCTTCGAATTTCGAGTATGTGCGCTTGACAGAGAGAGAAAGAGTCAGGGGAGAAAAAGTGGGAGCGATTTCCGCGCCCTCGTCCAATTTGCAACATGGCACCTTCATATTTTTCGCCATTTTTATCATTCGTTAAATGCCACCCAAAACGCTACGTTGTAACTCGCGTCGCGAGACTTTTCATGTAAATCAGCATTAGTGCGATCTAATCTGACACGATCGAAAAGGAAATAATGTGCACTCGCTGCAGACTACGAGGAAATCCCACTTGCCTTTGATTTCTCAAGATTAATTACGTAAACTCTTTTAATATTTAAAATCTGAAATCTAAGATTTGAAATCTTCGATAGAAATTTCCAAATTGGAATGTTAATAGGAAAATTTCTAAATTTAGTTTGCAGAAAAATCTTTATTCTCACAGTAAACGATCACGTATTAGATTTGACCGGAAAAGATTGTGCGTTGTAAAGGTATTAGAAGCGTGTTGGGTTTATGACTTAAACGCGTGGCCGAACTTTATGGGTCGATAAGAAAGGGGTTGTCTTTACGACTTTCTCCATTGTTCCCGCTCGGCAAGAGCGACATTCTTTTGGAATCGCGTAACGGTTCGAAGTTTCCAACTTAACGGCTGATATATTTCTGACGGTCATCCGAAGATTTAATGCGCCAACATTTTTACTAGGCGAAAATACAAAGCGGACGCAGGCTCTTCTACTACCGAAGTCCTAGCCTCGTGCAGACCGACACTATCACCCTATGTATATTTATTAAATAATAAAATTTAAATTATTTAAAAAATAGTAAAATAATTTTATTATTAAGAATTTTACAAAATTATTTATTTATTATGCTTAATTATTTTAAACATAATAAATTTTATTTTAATTATTTATTATGTTTAATTATTTTAAAAATTATGAAATAATTTTAATCATTTTAAATTATTTTAATTTATGTACATTTATTGTATATGCATTATTATTATGTACATAAATTATTATAATTTATATATAATACATTTCTAGTACCTATAAAATTATAAGTTTTGAATAATATTTTCCCTGGGTCGAAGCTCAGCATGCTCATAAAACATAATTATTTGCAGAAAATTGCAATAAATTTTTTACGCTGAAGAGAGGATAAAGAGCGGGAAGAAAATATATTCTAACCTCAAACGAGTTTATTCGCAGCCAGTGGTTTTTCCCGGCGCGTTGAAATTCCCAATTGCGCGTCCGACTGGAAGATCTTAATTAACTCGAGTTCTAAGTTTAAACACCTGTGGAGCGTCGTCGGTTTCTCCCGCGAAGATTCGTCGCTTTGGAAAGCGGCCAAGAACCAATCGCGAGAACTCGACCGTAGTCTTTCGATCCTATTTCGGATCATCGAACTAATCGATCGGTCGCGGGCAATCGCGACGATAAGATTTCCCGGAATAACGTTGCTGAAGACTAGGCACGAACGACAATGCTGCTTCGTTTATCGCTCGGAACATTTCCAGGATGTGGCTTCCTTCGCGTATCGCGACATTAAGATGCGTATACGGTACCACTTCGCCTGTTTCCTTTCCCGCTGGAAATATTCTTCACTCACGCGGTTCAGACATTATCGACTTAGGGTCGGTGTTAAGGGGAGCAAAAGGAGAAATTTTGTAATTTCTTAAGATTCTAAAGGTATTGCCCTCCTTAGAACAATTACACCCTTATCATAACGTTATATCCAGGGTACCATAAATTACCGCTCGTGGACGATAAACTTAAACCGCCATACAGCCTAACCTACGACACTGTATGTACAGTTACCCTAATTTTGAATATTTGTGATAGTAGACAACGTTAACAATGTTAAAATGTAATAAGTAAATAAGTATGTAGATAAAAATGTAAATTGAAGCCTTTCACGAGTATCTCCGAAATGAAGACTTTTCGAGGAGAAAACTGAGAATGTTGTCCCTAATAACATATTTCAAGGCCATTAAAATAGGCATGTTTCTACATAATAACGAGTTGTATCTTCCTGTTTTGTCAGAGTTAATTAAAGGCTAAAATGTTCGCGATCCGCGCAACGAAAACAACGAGGAAGTAACGATAATTGAACGACGTAATTCAACGAAAAACCTGTTCCTTTTTACGTCAATCGGAAACAAACCGACGGCAGTTAGTCGCTAAATATGAGATGGACATTCAAAACCAGCTTATCTCCGCGGACTTGATACGAAAACATATGGCAGCCAGATTACAATAAACAGCGCACGGTGTTTTAGCAACCGGCGATGGTTGTGCGCGGAATTCTCAAACATCAAACACAGTAGGTGTACCATCGTTATTAGGTTACCTGTAAATAATGATCCACGTCCGACGAGAAACGAACCCACCTATCAGACTCTTTGAAAAGTATATCGACAGAGAAAAATGAGGAACAGATATCTGATACCGTTTTGTTGAGTACATTGAAGACGTAACAGGATACTTGTTAGAGGCTGATGAAATTTTTAGCACGGTTCTGATTAATTTATGACTCTAATTCGAGTAAACTTCTTGAGATAAATAAGTGAAGTTGAACTCTTCGTACAGTGGACGCCATTGGAAAATTTTAATTCGGTATTTTTCCTTTGATTCGTTTAAAACTTAAGTTCCAAGTGTCCTAAAACTTATAAGTAATGTAACTACTAATAAGACAAATATGATTATAATATTTGTGCAGACAGCAATGAAAAGCAATACGTTGATCAATTAAATTAACTTGACAGCGAAAACAATTAGGTAGAAGCTTTTAGCTGCACGATTTAATGAAAATGTTGGGGTCTCTTGCAGAGTATCACTAACGAGCCCCGATGAACCTTATCAAGGTAGATAAAACGATAGCACGTTGGCAATCAAAATAGAAATAAACATTTCCTCGAAACTCGCGGAGGTCTCTTGGTATAAGCTCTTCCTCCACCTCCTCCCATTATCCATATTAATCTAACTGTGCCAACCCTCTCCGTATATCTCGGCGTCTCCCTTCCACCTACGCATCAATTTTGAATTCCAGGAACTGCTGGCATATTTCACGACCCCGATAAGGACGTAGAGGGCGTTCGATTAACGAGTAACTAGCGCAGATTCGACAAACGCGTACCAATAACGCGATGAACACGCGGTATCGCGTTAACGACGAACGTATTTGCATGCATTACGAACTGTCAGTAGGTAAAACCAATTACGAGTCGAATTAAGCGTGGAACAACGAAGAAGAAACTATTTGCGTGTAACACGATCGCTACACATCGATTAATCAGGAATTCATTTGCATCGACTATTACACCGACAATATCGATTCCCAACCGGATAATTTCGGTTTACGTAATAAAATGAAGATTGACCGTAAAACCGGTACAAGGTAAACGTCGATATATCGCTGGAATCCGTTCTAAATTCTACGCCGTTCTTTTTTCCACTCGGATGCTGCCAGCCAACCATTTTCATCGGTTTAATTATGCGACAAGGATTCGAGGATTTCGACAAAGCGGTCTCGCGCGCACCGCCTGTGCGCACACGTACGGCGCATGCGCGCGGCTGACCAGAAATTTGAAAACAAAAGGAAAGAAACATGCAGCGAGCAATTTTTCCACGAAAACCTTTTCGTCGGGCATTGAAATGTCAGGCCAAGATCACTGGAGCGATCAACTCGGTCCGTGGGCGACTCAAGGACACTCTGTTCCCGACAAACAAACTGCGACGATCCTTTAACGATTAACAATGCTTTGGTCGTTACTTTCCGCGGTTCATTAAACACCTTCCGACAAAGAAGTTTCCTCGTCACTTATGAAGCAAGGTGCCATATACTGTAATATTTGGAAAACGATAACGAAATTAAATTATATGTTATTATAAGCCGATGGTTAATCCCGTTCCAATGAATCAAACGGTTTCGCGTAACAAGCTTTTATTGTCGTGTTTTCCCCGCGGCTGCGCACGCACGTTTTTTCCTCGTTCTACACCGCCGCTGTACGCCGATTGCTATTACGAGGAAAATAATAATGCAATTACGTCGTCATTGCGAGAACCAAGAGCATAACGTGATACGGAACGAAAAAATTTGAAGAGTCGTATGACACGAACGGACAAAAGAGGCATTTTTGATTTGTTGGTCATTTTCGAATGAATTGAAAATGGCGCGTTTTTTTAAATCTTTAAAATGTCTAGGTCTTTCAATTGATACCAGGCATCAGTTATAATAACTGCATAGTTGTAGTGTGTTTATTAAAAATTTCTGTGCGAATAAATTTTAGCAAAAAAATGAAAGAAGAATTATAAATAGTTTCATTAAAATTCTTTGACGTATCAAGAATATCGAGACAAGATTAATTCCGTGAAGAGGTTAGGAAAAATTTGAAGAGTCGTATGACACGAACGGACAAAAGAGGCATTTTTGCTTTGTTGCTCATTTTCGAATGCATTGAAAATGGCGCGTTTTTTAAAAGCTTGAAAGCGTCTTTCAATTGAAATTTTTTACAGACAGATCAATTATAGTGTATGCACAGCTGTAGTGTGTTTATTAAAAACTTCTATGCGAATAAATTTTAGCAAAAAAATGAAAGAAGAATTATAAATAGTTTCATTAAAATTCTTTGACGTATCAAGAATATCGAGACAAGATTAATTCCGTGAAGAGGTTAGGAAATTCTGTTCGCCACTCGACTCGAATGATAATCCCCTTTGTCCGATCCTCTTAGAGACGGAAAACTTAATAGCGGAATAATTTCCTAATCATTTATTCCGCTCGGTTCTCCGTTTTTCAACCGCGGACTCGATAGGAAAACAATAGTAATACTATGCGCAGTTTACACGATCTTTGAAAGTAAAAGTGAAGCTATCGTCGTTGCATATAGAAACTATATTTTATCGACGAAGTAATCTTTCAAGCTGTGTCTAATTTAATCGCTAACTGCATGTTCGTAGATTATTTCCATTTTTGTTCATCCTTCTCGCTGGAACAATGATGATGAACTTATTAAACTTTAAATAACGTATAATTACGGCTTCATACGTTTATTAACATACGTGGAGTATATTTGCAATTAATTACTTTTGAACTTATAGTTTCATGAAACAGAAATAGAAATATTGTTACATAGCAATAATTAAAAATAGTAACAATACTTTACGGACGCAAATTTTTAATTTAAGAAATATTAAAAATTGAATTCAAAAACAGGTCAAGATTGCATCATCTCAGTGTTAATGATGAAATTGTTGCAATCAATAATGACACAGAAATAGCAAGATCTAAAACTGACCATCAAA